CGTCTATATTTTCGGTTTCGCTCAGTCTGCCTTGGCAAGACGAGGTTACTTTCTTTTGTTTGTTTGTCAAATGATTCTTTCAGATCTGCCCATTGATCTATTTGGATCCCTCATTGCATTCGCGTGCTTGAGAAAGAATTGACGCTGCCAATCGCATTTTCAAGATTTTCGTTATGGTGGCTTGGCTCAGAGTGCGAGTCTGCATTAGTGGCGGCCGTGGGTATGATATGATCGGTATGCGCAAGTATACACGAGGGAAAAAAGGAAAAATCAAAAAAAAACCCCCTTCACGTTACAAAAGACCCATCGACTTGGTTGGCTGGGTGGCTTGGTTCAATGCACACACACTCATGCATGGCAGTCGGACATCTTGCACAGTTTCTGTTCCGCTGCTCTTCGTCATTTCGGTCATAGGGTTAGAAGTCTCGAATTAATTCAATTGTTTCTATTCAAATTTGCCATAGGTCATTCTCTCCCACTAGCAGTCCAACCTAGTACTTCTTGCGCGGTGACAATGTAAGCCTATATATATAACTATACGTATACCTAGGTAGCTCTTAGGCCTGGGTTGTGGATATATCCTCTGTGGAACCTGCACAACATATCTGCAGGGTCTATGCATGATGTACAATAATAGGCCTAGCGCCGTATTTCTAGTCTAAAGGTACGTAAGAAAACATTGATTCGAGATGGGAATAGAATATCAAAATGAGAGAAGGGCTGGAGTCCATATGCTGCCAATGCAGGGCCATGCAAAAGATAAACAGGGAAGAAACCGGAATAGAAACATATATGCAAAAAAGAAATAGACAAGAAACCCCCCTATATAACAGCGATTATCAATTACAGTACAAGATCAATTCACATCTAGCGATGCTAAACAGGTCTGTCTAGATAAATAGCTTCAAGAGGTCGAAGAGAGGGGAGCAAATGTGGACAGGAGAGTGTATGGAGATGCAGATCATGAGATGGTCGTGTCGTAGGAGGATTCAATGCATCATTTTTCGGACACAATGGGATGAGATGACCGATTTTCCTCATTTGGTAGGGAAAGACCGTTAATGAATCATGGACAAAGATAGAAAGATAGAAAAGAGTAAAATAACCGACGGACGGGATATCTTCAAAAAGAACAGAAAAAAGACAAAAAAAAGCCAAAAACGAAAAAACGAAAGACGAAAGGACCAAACCCCAATGGAATCCTTTCTCATGGCCACCAGCCCATGCGCTTATAGCTGTCCACGATTTCACGGATGCTGTCAGTCCCGAAGGTTGGGTACAATGGCTTCCAGCCAACCTCATTCTCGAACTTCGACCCGTCAATGGACATATCCTCACCCCTGAGGATATCACGTTCCAAGAACGGACTGATGGGTCCAGGCCGCGTGATATTGGCCCTCTCGATAAGCTCAGCCCAAGTCTGCAGACCGACCTCATTCATATCATCGAGGAGATCATCGAGGTTCATCTTAGCGAGCTGCGAAGCAAGCGAACCGACAAACCCAACCTTAAGACCGAACACCTCCGTCAAGGCATTGGCAACATGTTCCTGTCTGGTGTCATTGTGATCAACAACATTGAAAGCAATAACGCCATCCTTGGGATCGACGAAGCCCTTCGCCGCGCGCCACTTAGCAACCTCGAACAGCGCGCTCGCAGCATCCTTAACGTGTAGGGTATTAACTTTCAAGTCCTTAGTGTGCAGCAACTGCAATTCCTGCTGGAGATCTACGTGGACGGCAGAGAGACAAATGCCCGTGGCGAAGTAGCCCGGGTCATAAGCGCCGTAGACGTGGGGCAGACGTAAGGTGCAGAAATTCAAGTTGGGGATTTTAAGCAGTTCATCCGCGGCCTTGAGTTTCCACGCGGCTAGCTTGTGCCACGGGACGATTTTGTCTGTTTCCTTTCGTGGTGTCGAGCCGCCCTTGTAGACGTGCGCGGTGGAGGTTTCGATGAAGGCGGGGATACCGCGTCGGGCGATTTCCTTGCCGAGTGCGAGGGAGAGGGCGTAGCTGCGCACTTCGTAGACATCGTCTGGTTGGGAGTGACGTGTTTCACCGCCGCAGTTGATCACATAGTCGAATTGTTCGCCATTGGCTCGGTCGAAGATCCGCGGGAAATGTTCTGTGGGGGAAATTGGGGTTTAGGTAAGAATTTGTGTTTTTGGATGGGGGAGGGTATTGCTTACGTTCACGGCTGGCATCTGCCTGGACGAATTTATCCTTTGAACATGCCTCTTGGAATTCGGGGGCTAACCAGGCCAATTGTGGGAGGACTTTGTCTATCAGACGGACTTCTGAGGCTAGGTTGTTCTCGTGGATGTATAGCGCGAGGTGTCGACCGATAAAGCCTAAAGACGGGGAATGTCAGTTCAGAAGGGAATAGTAGTAAGACAAAGAGAGACATACCAAGACCTCCAACAATCAGAACAGCGGGTTTTTTGGCGTCAGCCATTTTAAATGTGAAAGAGAAAAAGGTCTCCCCGCAGGTTCAGGAGAATGAAAGGGGGGAAGGCGAAGGTCGGGAGAAAGGAGGGGGCGGACTAAAGGGGACTAAAAAGAAATAGAGGCCGAGAAAAAGAATCCGAAGAATATTATTAGATGGAATAAAAAGAAAAAAAAAAAAGAAAAGAAAAAGGAAAAAAAACCCCCAAAATATTATTATTCACATCTCCCCTGCCAAGCCGGTTAATCCACGTTGATAGCAAGTGGGTTACAGTGGGAACACCAGCATATACCTGTGACGTCGGAGGGGAGAGAGTGGGTGTTAGTGGGATTAGTACTCCGTACGAGGTTGGAATTCCACTCATTTTACCTGAAGGTCTATTATACACATATTGTATGTTGTACTAACTAAATAGTTAACTAATTAGTTATGTGATACCAAATCAAACCAAATCAATTTGTTCTTCATGTGTTCTTTGTGTGTACTTTGTAGTCCCAAATACCCCCGTAGAATCTGTCTTGGTCCCATGGTACCGGGTTTCCGATCACCCGAACCAGAGATGCAATGATAAGCCTTTTCTATGCTTAATTTGACTAGATATCCATTGGAGTTAATTTATTTCAGTTATTACACGAAGTAATTTCACATATGCTGTAAAACAACTGCTAGATATGATCTTGGACTTAAATGAAACACCAGAATGTTGCGAGTTGAGCCATTCAACGTGCGTACAGATGTTACATGGAGTCATCAAAAGCAATTTCGGGATATTACTCCCATTTGAAATTGTAGTCGTACATATTGCTCTTTAAAACGAACTATTCTAATAATAGTTGAAGTTGAAACTCCTCGAGTAGGGGCCGGGCTGCACACAATCGGGAAGGGAGGGGATGATGGGACTAAGGCGGGCGGGGGCACCTTGTTGATGGAGCCGGGGGGTGGGGGGTCGATGCTGCGAACACGAACACAGCGTACAATCGAAGCAAAATGAACAAAAGGTAGTTTAAAATTAGAGGAATGTCGCAATTCCAGGTAGATGTTGGTAAATGTTCTTTAAAAACAGATCTTGGAGCACTGTGACACAATCTTTGCCTTTTCTGGTCATACCACACGCTGGGAGTCCTTATACAAGGTACTAATGGGTAGATCTTGTGGTCTGTAGAAACGAATCCAAGTGGTTGGCAAGATAAACTCTGAGACAATAACTTTGGAATCTATATTTGGTTGTTTAGAGACCCTAAACTTTAATATAAGTTTCAGTTTCATGACCAGGCCAGCATCAATCGAACCCAAAGATGTAAAAAGCGAGGGTGTACAGTTGTGTATGTATGTTGACATTATAAGAGATCTTTGGTAGTATTCAATCCCATTGTGTAGCTGGAAGTCGCACAATATTTCTCTATATTCCATCTTTTGCACGCGGCCTCAAGAAAAGTTGCCGCTGGTAGACCATAGGGTTTTGTAAAACGAGTCAATTGCCTTCGCAGAACACGCAGACTCGATGTGCCGTAGGCTAAGGATGTACAAAAAGGGTGGAAAATAGAGTATGGGTTTGGTAGAGCTATCTAACACTTGTTTGATGGAAAATAAAGTTATCTCTCCTGCAATCAAGTCGGTGATTAGGGTATATATACGGTGAGACAATTTTTCCAAGAAATGCACCAAAACACAGACCATATCCCACAACTTAGACCAGACTAAGCGAGTGGAGAACAATTTCTACATAAGACCTTTCGCTTTTGATATAAGTACATCCATACAACTCGGGTATCAATTCAAAAAACAATATCCAGACCGTATGCTTTAAGGTTATATCTCGGACTTTTCTTGGTGTGTAATCGAAGCACGGAGCCAATCCCACATTCAGACGTCTCCCTAAATCTTGGAACGGTGGAGTCGGCTAGTGGACCCGATCTTGCGTGCCGTACCCCTTTCCACCACGTGATAGAAATTAATTTTCTAATGGAAGCGGGTCTCTGAACGGAACGCATTCGGCGAAACTACCGGTCAGCAAACCTACACCTCCGTGTTCAACGCCGCCTTTAAAGTAATAAGATTCACGTATTGTATTGGCATTGATCCTTCCGCCAGACACCTGGCATTCAATCCAGACCTAGCGAGAAGGTCAATTCTAACGCAATCGACGATATCTTGCTACTTCAGAGGCAGGGCTAATATCTCTGCAAATTGTGGGCCGGGTTCCGGTCAAAATATAATACAATCTGACGGATCTGTCAAAGGCTAGAACCTAGATCTCGTCAACAACATTATCCGGTCTACCACATTTCGCAGGAAAACAACGAATGGACGAGACTTGCTGGTATTGCAGGTATCGATCAGGCTTCAGTACAAGAGTATACAATGCAAAGAAATTTCCTAGCGAAACCTCGGATGGAAACTCAAGACAAGCAAGCATGAGACAGATCAAATTGAACACGAAAGAGTTACACTGGTCAAATCCAATACATTTCATAACAGCCAAAGCAAGGTATATTCATAGTGCTCTAACAACCGCAAGAGTAAGCAAATGTGAAAATGATACAAAGCCCATAGAATCATGATGCGCCTAGACACTTCAGCGAGCTTCTGAGCTCCTTAATAGCGGTATCAACATCGTCAAAAGTCAAAGCAGAAACCGCCCAACGAGCATGCTTCTGCGCCAACTGCACAGTGTTATCATCTAGACCATGTGATGGTTGCGACGGAACATAGGGAGCCGGAGCAACCGGGACGTTGGCAGCTGGGGGCGGAACAAATGCCGGAGCAACCGGGGGCGGGATAGGAGCACTAGGACCTGGGGTATTGTAGAACGAAGCTGGATCTGGCGTGGGGACGGATGGTTCCTCGGACGGCGGAGGGAAAGACTGGAATGCAGTCGGGGTATCTGGAAGTCTAGGTACTGAGGATGAACCGCCAATGGTTGCTGGAGTTGATGGGAGTTCTAAGCCGCCTGTATTGGTATCATCAACATCCATCGGTTGCAGAGGAGAACCAGGTGCGTTGCGAGGGACAGAAGGGATCTCGGGCGGGCCGCGAGGCGTTGACGATGTGCGTGATGGATGAAGCGATTCATCAAGAGTCGATTTCCGAGCTAGCTCTCGTCCAAATCGGTCGGACTCGTCTGGGATCTCTTCGATAGAGGCCTGTCTTGGCTTAGAGGCCTGCTCCGCTACCGACTCATCAAATGCCTGGACGTCAGGGTCGTCGGCGAGTTCTTCTTCCTGTTTTGGCACGGGATTTGTTGCGTTAGGATCTTCGCCGGCTTTGAGAGCTTTAACGATCCGGACCGCGTGGAACTTGGCGAATTTGATCCGCCCAGCAAGTTCTGGGTCAAGGGGGCCCCCAGATCGAACAAAGTTCAAGGAATGTAGCCGCTGCTAGGAAAGTATCTCCCGTTTGCCTTTTCAGGTAATTAGCCATTATAGCTTAGAGAGCCACTTGGGGAGCTCACTTTGTAACTTTGTTGGCGTTCATAGCGGCCTCAGCACGACTGAAGACCTCCAATCCGAATTGTTCGACATAGGCGCTCGCCGCAACAGTGTCTGTCACTGTATCATTATCTGGGTTTTCTACTTTGAACTATTTCAAACCAATATCATCAGCTGCTATATCTCAAACGCGCAGTGCGGAATATAGACTAGTAGGAAGGGAAGGAGGGTAGGGAGCCTGACTCACTTGCTCCAGCTTGTCCACGAGGTTCGTCGTGTAGAGTTTGATCTCGTCGTCGGCATTATGCAGACCCCTTTCAATAATCTGGTTCACAATATGGAAATTGCCTACGAAATTAGGGTTCAATCAGCTCAAATGTTCAGTTGCGCTTTGCTTTGCGCGGGGTCTGGCGACTTACACCAGTAGGCAACCACAGGTTTGGCCTTCTCGATCTGAGCTGCCCTGATTGCAAATCGACCGATGTCTGCCGATCGAAGTCCAGCTGGTATATTACTCGACATTGTTTAGGATGTTTGTTGTGTTAAGGAGAAGATGCATGTGGTGAACAAATGACGTTTGGAGCTCTCGGAGTTCCCACCGCCCGTGTGCGGGGGGCCGAGTTAGTTATCGGTTCTTATCTGCCGGAACGGGTCTTGAACGAGTTGGAGATGTATGAAACTAGAAACTTTCATGATATGTACTATGTAGTTTATTTCTGATTGTACTGGGTATCATTCATCTTCAATTGCCCACTTTCCAATCTCCACTCTCTCCTCCGCCAATGCTTCCACTTCAAAGTGATCCTCCACCTGCCCTCCCGGACCTCCAATACGCTCGATAACAATCCATACATAGCGTGATTCAGCACTGGGTAGCAAATCGAAGTCTCCAACTCGTACCCCGGACGCAGCGTCACTATGAGTTCCATCCTCTGACGTGGCCAATATCTCCTTATATGGCCCCTGCCCCAGCTCCACGGTCATCAGCACGGGAGACGGAGCAACAGCGCGAGCGCCGATCGTGGACCGCTTATTCCTTGCAATAAGTCGGATCCGTGTCAAACGAGATACCCGCAGCGAGGCTATCATCCGGTCCTTGCCCGGAGACAAAACACCCACTTCAGATAGGACGGCGCGCCGCCCAGCAGACTCGGAAACCAAGGGCTGGACTACACACGGGATCGTGGATGAGATCCATAACGTGAAGCGGCCAAGCTGGTCAGGTGCAAAGGTGGAGCAGACGATGGTGTAGGTGCCTCTGTCCAGGGATCTGGTCTCGGCCAGTGCGCATCCGCGACGGTAATCGCCACTATCTGCAATGATGTCTCGGCTTCGCACGCGCGACACGCGCTGCCCGTTTGACCAGAAGATTTTCACGTGGGTCGCTAGCTCCGCTTCAGTGGTCTCGAGCAAGATCGAGACATCTGTCGGTTCGGAAATTCGTATACTGAATTGTGGATTGGAGTGGTACCGAGGCGATTCGGCATTCCCGCCCGCTGTCATTGCTGTCCAGGAAGCACTTGCCTTGGTCAAGCATAGATATTTATCTAGCGAGGGTGCCACGGCCACAGGTGCGGTTGAAAATGCAGAGAGAGTAAAATTCTGGGTGGATGATGGAAGTGATTGCTCCGAGATCACTGCGGTGTAGGTCGACTTGGGGGGCATTTCCAGCCTCATAAGCGTGTTGGGAGAGTCCACGTATGGTCCGCGGTGGAGCGCACCATCGCTGAGAGACACTCTTCGGCCATTTGCTTGAAAGATGTAGATGCTGATAAAGCCTACTTCATTCTCCGACCCCTCAGAACTGAATTCTTGATAGTCTGTCTTAAAATGTTTTCCGAGCAGCAGCCAGACCGTTCCTCCCGAATCACTGGAGATGGAGAATTGGGGATTCTTCACGAAGCAGCCGGCGATAGCTCGACCATGCGACAAATCCCAAGTGAAATGGATGTCCTCGCGGTATTTGAACAAACCGGGATTCCAATTAAGGTAAAGATTCTCGAAATTGAGAAGAACTTGTTCACAGTCCATCCAAAACGTCCCTGGGGAGAGGGGAGGTTTATCATTCACGTTAAGTGAACTAAGATCAGCTGTAAGACTGCTTTGTATGTTGGGTTCCGCACCAGCCCACGGGTTCTTCAAAAGAAACTGGCGACGACCCTGAACTTCCTTCAAGTCCAGAATAGCATAATCGTGCTCTCCCACTAGCCCCAGACCTTGTTGTTCCCGTTCACTCAATTTCCCGGTGCCAATAGTCAAAACCACATCGCCATGCCAGAAAGGACTATATAGACGACCCCAGATCTCATCGGAGGTCGAATCGTCGTGATGTAAAAAGACTTGCTCCGGAATCCAACCAGTAAGCACCCAAAGGTCGGTCCCTGAGTTACTTCCTGGAAAATCATAGCCTCCGCGGACCTTCAGGTAGGCCTTCTCCACAAGAGCAGGCCACAAAAGTTCGAGTTATTGAGATCGATCACATGGAGTGAGCGTGTAGTCTTCGACGAGGGCAATCGATCATCTATCACTACCTTTCGGAAAGATCCATTAAAGTAGAAGCGAAATATATACTTCCCAGAATGCGAAAGTGTCGGGCTATTATCCTCACTGCATGGGTACAGTGTCGGCGATGCATGCTGTTCGAATTAGCTTCAAGAATTCGTCAATATAGAACCAAATTAGTCCATACCTGTCCTAACCCTCGTTCCGATCTAGATGTTGTGGCGCAGAGGCTTGCGACCACTGAACAGTCTGTTAAGACATCCTGCACGAGATCTGTTTGTTTTGAAGTCGACATAGCTGGATCAACTTCATCGTGTGTTTGATTAGCCGTATTCTTGGTCCGCAACAAATCATGCGGTCGTTTCCAGCCTGCGAAAATTTCTCTCTGGCATTCAGAGAGGTGTAAATCAGGCGCATCCCTATACCTGGTTAGAACAAAAATCTGCATTGGGCGATATTTTCCACATACGTAAAAGGTTGCCCTTTATATTCAAATTCATCCTGAGGCGGCGCACGATTCCATGGTGGAAATATATAGCCGTTAAGTTTGGCACCCTCGAGGATGATGATTTCTTCACGCGTAGTGAGCTTCCGCGTAGATGCGGGCGGTCGTAAGCTTGGAAAGGCTTTCTGGGGCCCCGCACGAGCAGTCGACTTCCAGTCAGCAGCGGCCTTGATCTTCTCGGCTTTGGACAGCAATTGTTTGCATTTTGTGTCGAGATATTTTTTATCATCGGCTGGCGCCAGGCGCAGCGCTTTCATATAATACTCCGCGGCATTGATGGCTGCCTCCAATGCCGCTTTCTGGGAGGTGGCTGTGGCTACCGCCTCTTCAGCGCTCTATCGAGTCATTAGCTTTATTCTTTCAGCAGTAAGTGCAAAATAAAATAAATAAAAATACCAATGCTTGAGATATATAGGATTGTGTGGGTGCAGGTCTAGACATCTCGTTGACCGGTAGTCGTGGAGTAGGGTGTAATCAGATCGAACAGCAAGTAAATTACCGGATTTGGCTGAGCCGAGAGAGGACCACTCCAGGGCTCTCCCTACATATTATTAATTCCGGTGAAGAATTCGAGACTTGCCATTTGAGTAGATTAATATATCTTTGTTAATAGTTTTATATATTGTAAATTGTAAATATTGTATATAGAATATAATAATAAATAAGTGAAAACATTGGAATAAACACACATGATGTAACTGAGGTCATGACATAAGCCTCAACAGCACCGAAAGTGGACCTCGGCTCAATTTAAGGTGAGATAACGCCGAGGTGCTTTTGTGAATTCCGGCTCATGGGCTCGGTCTCTTCTCTTTTTCTTTTTTTTTTTTTTTTTTGGTTGTTCGGGTGACTTCGGTATGGTCATCATATCTCTATACATTTCCCCATTGTGCTCTCTCTTTTATTCCACTCTCTCCGTTGTTCGGAGCCAAGCAGTGTAGAGCCCCGCTCAATATTTCTCCTGTTGTCCGGCCGCTAAGAGAAGCGAGTCCTCTTCCTAGATCATATTCTTATTTATTGCGCTCCTTTGATTTTGAATACCCTTAACCGACATCATGGCTGGTCAATCCAAACCTGTTCTGTCGCCATGGGGCAGCGCCGTGGCAGGCGCGACAGGAGCTGTTCTTGCGAACGCGATGGTGTACCCACTTGACTTGTGAGGTCCCGCAGTCCTCGAATTATCAGATCAAAATCCGCTGACTGTATCGTCCCCAATCTGTAGAGTCAAGACAAAACTACAAGTACAAGTCAAGGAGAAGAATGGAACCGTGAAAACCGACGACCTCGAACATTATGAATCGACTATGGATGCTATTACCAAAATCGCAGAGAAGGAGGGCTACAGCGGTCTGTACGCCGGAATGGCGGGAGCCCTTCTAGGTGTCGCCTCAACAAACTTCGCATATTTCTATTGGTACAGCGTCGTAAGAACGCTCTACGTGGCTTCGGCCAAGTCGACACAGGCCCCCGGTACAGCCATTGAGCTCTCCCTGGGCGCCGTCTCTGGTGCCGTGGCTCAGATCTTCACCATCCCAGTGGCCGTTATCACAACCCGACAGCAAACACAGCCAAAGGGCGATAAGAAGGGGTTGATCGAGACGGGTCGGGAGGTGGTCGAGAGCGAGGACGGCTGGACCGGCCTGTGGCGCGGCCTGAAGGCCAGCTTGATCCTGGTCGTTAACCCGGCCATCACCTACGGTGCATACCAGCGCCTGAAGGAGGTTCTCTTCCCGGGGAAGAACAACCTCAAGCCCTGGGAGGCATTCCGTGAGTGGTGGTAATTCTTGGTGTCAAAAATGGCTTGCTAATTATTATTCTAGTGCTTGGTGCCATGTCCAAGGCTTTGGCCACGATCGCAACCCAGCCTCTGATTGTTGCCAAGGTTGGACTGCAGTCCCGCCCACCACCCAGCCGAAATGGCAAGCCCTTCAAGACCTTTGGTGAGGTCATGAAGCACATTGTTGATAATGAGGGTCTCTTTTCCCTCTTCAAGGGTATTGGACCTCAGATCCTGAAGGGTCTTTTGGTTCAAGGTCTGCTGATGATGACCAAGGAGAGGTATGTTTTCTATTTCCAAATTAACATCTACTTGTACTAACTTTAGCAAAGGATGGAGCTCCTTTTCATCATTTTGTTCGCCTACCTCAAGAACATCAAGAAGGATAAATTGCGCAAGGCAGTGGATTTGGCAGCGGAAAAGGCCAAGACCAGCATGCCTGCTACCCTGAAATAGTTGTCTTATAGTTAGACGGAGGGGCTTTTGGTTTTCCCTTCGATTCTAAATTGTGTTTACCTAACTGGCGCGTTGGTGGCTGTTGGCAATTCTGGTAGATTTCGAACCAGCATTTTCGTGCTGGAGACACTCGATATGGTATAACCCTGTGTTTCTAGCATTTCAATATCATCATAGATCTATACATGGTCATATCATGCTTACTTTCTTTAGCACCCCTATAGTGCCTATCTATTGGCATACTATGTAGCTGAGTATACCAGGAAATGGGGCTTGAAGCGTGCAAGTGCAACCTCTCAGTGATGATTCCAGCAAATATCGCAACTAGTGCAAATATTGGCCTCCTCTATGTCTCGCGTACCATTACTTATTACTTAGGGATAATCTTCTGATTGCTCATCTTTATACTAGGACCAATCCCAAAGTGGATTTACTTTGGGATTTACTTTGGGATTTGATATAATAATGAAAAGATGAAGTCATCAACCCTTTCAGGTGTCGGTGGTATAAGCTAACATCATGTAGGGGAATTTTATTAGACCAAGCACAAACCAGCGAGAAGCATTCCTCATCCTCAAATTCAGTCGTTCCAGCATCCGAGATACCGTTTTCTTTCCGTCACCAAAAAAAAAAAAAAAAAACCGAGCGGTAGTCAGGCACACAGAAAGATGTCCGGGACCATGATCGAGGACAAAGACTATCGGGAAGCCCACCTCGAAAAATCTAAGGATATAAATAAGCTCCAAAGATATCGCTTGAGTGAATACTGCGCCAAAATTAGAAGAAACAACAATCTGTCTCCTTTTGACCAGCATAAGTTTTTCTTTGTGGAGGAAGACCTCTGAGAAGTTGTCCAAGAAGAGATATCTATTAAAGAGGAACATAATATCTTGAAGAAGAATGCCGAAGAGAGACTCTATGCTTTGAATGTCACATACTGGCTCTTGATGCAAGAGTGGGTGGATTGTCGTTCCTGTTTCCAAATTGGGTGTCTACAAAGAGCGTTTGAGCTATGGCGGTCCCATCCTAAGTGGTATATGCACCGTACGCTTGTTGAAGATTGTGCTAGCCGACAAGGATGCTGTGCTCGTAGGTGTGGATGTTGTCTTAACCGTAAGATTGATCCCACACATACGCTTGGAGTTGGACATTGTACCGTTGAATGTGCATGTTGTCGGAGAGCCCGAGGCTTTGACATTTCTGAGGAAGATAAGAAATCGTTAAAATCACAACGTCGTGAGAAAATAAACTATTGTCCCGAGCACCGAATCGTACGAGTCGCAATATGGGGACTTGTCGGTAATAGCTATGACAGTCCGTTCAACATGATTGACGCGCCACCAATCTATGGGCAGATTGCAAAAGACAAGACTTCTGCAAAGAAGAGGTATAAGACTTGATTGATGGATACTGCTGTATCTTTTACATCATATTGCAGGCCTGTACCTTCCCTACGAACGATTGCAATATTGTACCTTCCCTACAAGCCATTGCTTCCCCTGTCTACAAAACAGTATCGTAGCCCACCTAGGAACTTCACATTCACATCATTTTGAAAGCATACCGTACTATCACCAAAATTACTCTCTTATGCATTTTTTTGTCTCTTTTGTTGTCATTTTTGTCGTCTGCCCTGGTCGGTAAGTCTGGTGTCTTTCCTGCTGTCTTTCCTGGTGTCTTTCCAGGCCTCTTTCTAACGCAGTTTTTGTAGCCCCAGTGCCGCACAGCCCCCAAGACAAAGAGTATGCCTTGGGCGTCGAGCTCCTTCGCCTGGCCGCTGATGACGGCCCTGTAATGGCCCTCCGAATTGGAGGAGTGGCGTTGTTCGTTGTCTTTTGCCGAGAAGTGATAATCTTTTTCTTTTGGCTGTGCAGAAAACTGCTTTGCAAGTATGTGACTGGTTGCTGTATTGGATCTATAGTAACAACGTGCTGACCATTGATTCTGTGGTACAGGAAGTGTGGATTTAAGGACGCCGTTGACACCGGCAGAGACACTGGTTGATACTCTGATGGATATTGAGCCGGGAGTGCTGCAGCGGTGCTGCCACGGGTGGTCATCATGCCCGCAATGTGGCATTAAAAAGACAGCATCGAGGGCGCTATTTGCCTATCATGGCAGAGCGTCCGGCTACGGTCGGCGCTGGGCCTCCTCCCCCACTGAGACCTGGGGAAATCAGCCCCAACCATGCCAGGAACGGGCATCATGCCCGCAACGTGGCATTCAAAAGGTGGCGTCGAGAACGCCAAGCCGCCGTAAGCTCCATCCCATACCAATACAGAACATGGTGCTAATCAAGAGTAAACAGGAGGCGATGGAAGCCCGGCGTACAAGAATTGAGGCGGAGGTTCTCCGTGAACACGTCGACCTGCAGGTCGAACGCCGGATGACTAAGATCCTATCATCTGCTTTCCAAGGTTGCTCTACTTATATGGTGGTGCCCGCGGTGACCGTGGTACTCGTGGAGGTGCCCGTGGTGCCCGTGGTGGCCGTGGTGGTGGTGCCGGTGATGCATGTGGGGGTGGTTTCCACGGGGCCGATGCGGGTACCGCCTACCATAGGGCCACTCTTCCCCCGCTGATGAGGACGCTGGCCGTGCCGGTCCTGAACCGCCCGCCGCTGGAGATGTTCCTCCAGCAATCGAGGCTGCCGCAGATGCTCAAGGCCCTGAGCCATTCAACCCATCTTCCATCCAGCCTATCTTCCATCCAACGACAACGGGCCCCAGTATAATTATATATGAATATGGGTTGGGAGTGAGGCTGGCTCCATTTGTATATAACCAGACTGGCCATTTGGACATATAAAAAGCGGCCCCAAACTCCCATCATTACACAAACGTGCATACCTGTAGATGTATCGCCGATGTATTCATGTAAACTCAACAATAAAATTGACTTCGTAGCAACCTATGGAGTACTTGATCTTATATACCCACCAACTATCTTCTCTGGATAGGGCAGATAGATAGGAGAGGTATGGATACCACCTTACAGACATTGAGAGGGAAGTGAGAGATAGGGAATGTCTACGAAGAGAGTCACGCCAATTGTCATGATGAAGCTGTGAATTGAGATTGAATAGTTGTAGATGCTATAATCTAAAAGCTATGAACATGATGGTGAATGTGAACACGTCCAACGAGCATCGAAGCGAAAGCATGATGGATGAAGCACCCTCGTCCTCGTCTGCCCCCCTTCCCTCGCCGGCCATGAGGTAGAAACCTAGTTGCTAGAGGGCACGGGATATAGAGGGACTATAACAAAGATGGTTCAGGACGGTGTGTATACATATGTAGTATAAAAGCTTGTTCATGCTGCGTGAGGAAATCGAACACGTCTGAACTTAGGAGTGTACTTGTATTACCAACGAGTGCCAGTTGTAAGAGAGGCAATACGAAAGGCATGAGGGATCAGTGATGATGTACGACATAAAGTCAAGTAGGAGAAAAAGTCAAAGCGACGATGACAAGCAGGGGCTCATGGCCTGCTAGATAAGGCCTACAGAAAAAAATACTTGGTCCAAGAAAGGATAGAAAGTCATTGGGTCATTTGTTGATAGGGTTGAAGAATCCATATCACTAGGCTCCATTATATGTAGTATCATCTTTCAAAACGCATATAATCAAATGAATCGGATTCAAGTACGTATAACTACCTAGGTACTCATGCTTTCATGAGCCCCGTTACTAAAACGTAACTGTCCATGGACTAGAAGGATCTAAATCTCTGCGAATCTGGCACATCTTAGACCTCCTCAATATTCCTATCATGGTAGAAAACCCCTAGTATTTAGTTAGGTAGCAATGGCTGCCGAGCACCTAGGTAGACCGAAAAATCGAAGAAACCAGGAGAGCGTCATTTAACAACGAATCCCAATGCATTCTAAGGTTATAGATGAAGGACACAGGGCGTTGTGTTGATTGTTTACCAAGAAGAACTAGTGGTAGCTTTACCCGTGCAGATAGATGATCTTCGCTTGACCGATCATCTTTTACCCCAACAATCACTCTCACCAAACACTCGTTCTCACACCACATAAACTTGTCACATAAGTGGCATGGGTCGTGATGCGATGGCCGCCATGGAGCTCCGAGTCGAACAATGACGAACAAAAACAAACACCCAGCTCCTGGCTCTCCTCCGCGTCGAACAACCCGAGCTCCATCCTCGACTGGACAGCGTTCACAGAAGCCAGAACAATTCTCCCAACCCTTGTCCTAACAAGCGGTATTCTCATCGCAGTGCGCTTCCACCGCCGCTATCTACGCCGCATCCCCGACGCGCCCAGCATCTCGGCCTCGTATCTTCGACGGCGGAGCATCTTCGGCCAAGTCACCAGCATCGGCGATGGAGACAATTTCAGGATTTTCCATACACCGGGTGGCCGCATGGCCGGATGGGGCTGGTTACCGTGGAAGAAGGTTCCTACTCTGAAAAAAGATCTGAAGGATAAAACCGTTCGTCGCTCACCACCTACTTATTCTCCCACCCTCGGCGCTTCCAGCCCAGCACAAGCATAATTATGCCTCGGCATATCATATACCACAACCTCATTCTTTGCATATATATTTAGCTAACATATTTACCCAATCCCAGATCCACATCCGCCTCGCTGGCATCGACGCCCCAGAATTAGCCCACTTCGGCCGCCCCGAACAACCATTCGCGCGCGACGCTCACACCTGGCTAACCTCCTACCTGACCAGCCGACGAATCCGAGCCCTCGTTCACCGACAGGACCAATACTCGCGCGTGGTAGCGAGTGTCTTCGTCCGACGCGCATTTGACTTCCCGCCGTTCCGTCGACGGGATGTTTCCTACGAAATGCTGAAGCGTGGCTTGGCAACTGTATACGAAGCGAAGGTTGGGTCGGAATTCGGCGGTGACGAGATGGAAAAGAAATACCGCAAGGCTGAGTGGTGGGCTAAGAAGCGAGCCAGGGGGCTTTGGAAGGATTATCGTCGTGTCGGGTCTGATTGGGAGAGTCCGAGGGAATACAAGAATCGGATGGGCATGGGAGATCCTGCTCCGATCGAGAAGGGGAATGGGAAAGGGAAGACTGGGAAAAAATAAATGAATGGGTCGTCGTAAGCTGGGCTTACGACCATGGCTATAAGCGTTTATGTGTTGTTTTTTTCTTATGTTCTGTCATTTACATTTGCATGCGACGAGACGGCACGACTATAACTTCACTATACAGCGCTGTACATGTGTGGCTAGTATGCGATGATCATTAATCGATCGCATTTTTGAATGTTGAATATGATACACCAAGTTGGGTCAAGCTATACATACACGGGGGCCGGTGTTACCCCCAAATCAGGCCCAATTGCTAAATGGGAATTAAGAGTCGAGTAATCTCCCATGGGTTGGAAGAACACAGAGGAAGTCAGTATACGGGCTATTATTTGCTTAGCAGAACCGCCGCTCAATCTCGGCAAACAGCTTTGGGCTAATTTCGTCGGAGGAATTACCCTCCGCACGGAATAGACACTGTTGACGGTCGTAGTGCTCCAAAAGGGATTTGCTCGTCTCCTCGAACTTCCGTAGACGCTGCTTCCATGTATCGAGAGAGTCATCTTCTCGCTGCGTCAGCGGCTCGCCCGTGACATCGTCTTTGCCTGCCACCTTTGGCGGGTGGAAGTCTGTGTTATACACGCGCCCTGATGGCTCGTGGACCCAGCGTGATGCGATGCGGGCGAGGATCACTGATGGCGGAGTGATGAGGTGCACGACGAAGTTAACCGGTACTAGATTGTCCAATGTTGTTGCCTGCATTGCTGTACGGGGAAACCCGTCGAGGATGAAAGAAGCAGAGGAATCGATTGAGTGAGCCGAGGAGGAAGTCTCGGCTGGTGAAGAAGATGACGAGGATGTTGCGGGTTGTACTGAGGATGCGGATGGTGGGAGGAGCCAGCCCTTGGATTTCATATCATCGGAGATCAGGCTCAGGATCATTGAGTCGGGAACAAGGTTGCCGGACTGCATTGTGGCTTCGGCTTCCAGGCCTGTTACTAGGGTTAGAGATACTGGATCCTTGCGCAATTAATCATTGCACCGATGCTGGCTCTACTCACCGAGGGGTGTGCGTCGGCGCACATTCTCTCTCAACAGATCACCGGAGCTGATGGAAGCCAGCTGGGGGAACCGGGCTAGCAGTCGCTCGGACTGTGTCCCTTTTCCTACTCCCGGTGCGCCAATCAAGATGATCCGCGCAGCCTTACGGAGCTGCTTTGTCACATGCGACATTATGTGCGATGGCCGTGTTGAGAGCCCGTAGAGGGTGTAAGGTTGCTGGTCCTGATGAACTCAACGGTTCGGATATTGGGGATGTGGGAGGAACCACGGGAAAGAAGTGTGGACAAGATCACGACAGCATAATGGATTGAAGGAAATAGTTTCAGCTCGGGTTTACAGGATAAGCAGTCGCGTATCTCCAGGGCGAGGACTGTTGAGAATGTTGATTCTGTGGGGGAGGTTGATCCTTTCGGTTGTCGGTGAAGACTCCGAGGGAAACGATAACTACCTCCGATGTACGTAGTAGATGTTGTATGGCAGCACTCAAGTCTAAGTAATTATGGAAAAAAAAATTAGAAAAATGTATAGGTCTTCATACAATTACCTTGAGAGAATATCAAGTACTTATATAACTAGTTATCTTACTTACATTAACTCGGTATAACTAGTTAAATGCCTTCACATGTCTTAGCACATGGTCGAAAACGCTTCGGGGAAAGCATCGCCCGTGCTCAAGCACACTCCAGCGGTGGTCCCTGACCCGGGGTACAGGATTACGTAATTGACGCCAAATGGATTTTGTTTCACGTGATTCTGCGCGTGGGACGCGTTCGCGTTGACCAATTTAGGGCGGAGATCTCATACATTCGTTTCTTGACAACGGAACACAATACCTACGCCATGATTCGACAAGACGCTCATCGCATTGATCCCAAACGACGGGCTGTCATTGACCCTAAAAAAAGACAATTCGCTACTCCAACATACAAGCAACAGGACTATGCGCACCGTCTGAACATTTATGAGATACCTCCTACCGCGGAAATCACCCTCGAACAATTCGAGCAATGGGCTATTGACAGACTGAAGAGTATGCATACTTACACATTCATATCGTCTTCTTACCTGCTAATACCAAAACAGTCTTGGCCGAGATCGAAGCATGCTCTTATCGAAACAAATCCCCCGCCGAGACGGCGACCTACATTACACCTCTTCTGCAGAAGTTCCTCCCTCTTTCCTCTAATACCTCCTCTCCCTCCGGTGCCGCAGACCCACGCTTGAAAAATGAACGTCAAAAGGATCACTACTCCCATTTCATCTTGCGGTTGGCTTTCTCGGCCACAGAGGACCTCCGTCGACGATTCGCCCGCGCCGAGACCATGCTATTCAGATTTCGATTCCAGCAGGACGACTCGAGGGAGAAGCGCGCATTCATTGATAGCTTGAATCTTGATTGGGAACCTGTAGGTGATTTTGAGAAGACGGAGATTGCAGAGAATCTCCTCAGCTCCACGCCTGGGCTGCGTCGGCTGGATGATGAGACCTGGTATAAAGTCGACTGGGAGAAGGTCCCCGAGTTGATCGAACGGCGCTCGGTGTTCCTGAAGAAAGGAAAGGCTTATGTTCCTGGTCGAGAGCAGCTGAGCATGATCATGGCTGAGTTTACTGCTCGCTTGGAGCGTGCACTCGAGGTACGTTTACAGTAGTGGC